GCTTGCAATGTAGGTACAAGCAGCCCCCACTTCAAAAGAGCGGGCATCCCACGTGCTTGCCCTTCAACCAGCGACATCGCTGCTTGCAAGGCAAGCATGAGCGGCTCCCACTCTTTTGAAGTGTGAGCCATTTGCGCTTGCTCTGCAAGTACTGATCTTGCTGCTTTCAGGGCAGGCATGCATGGCCCCTGCTCTTTTCAAGCGGGGCAGGACAATTGCTTGGGTGGAATTCCACCCCCCTCACCCTCCGTGCTGGCCAGCTGGCCGGCATCTGAAAGCAGACCTAAAAAATGGGATCCCCTGCCCCCACCTGGGAACTGGCATCCCTACTTACCACCAATCCATAAAAAAACCTGGGAAAGGACAGGACTGGGCATTTACAAAAACTACAAAGAGTGCTTCACTACTGCTGACTTCTGCAAAAGCCTGTGGAAAGGGGAAGAGATAAATCCCTTTTTCTTCCCCAAGTTTTCCCAGAGGTAAGGAGTTGGTCTTATCTATGGGGCAGCTTGGCAACTAGGCCCATATGCCTACTTTCCTTTTGCAAATAAGCCACTCTCACTTGTAGGTGGTATTTTGAAGTGATGCCCACAAATGTACAATCTAGCTAGCACTATTCATTGGTATCATTTTTTTTTTGCCCAAAAAGGTGATGCACAGATATCATCAGTCTGGCTAACATTATATTATAGCCTACCACAAAAATAAAGGTAAAGGTTCCCTTGCTCGAAAGCCAGTCGAATCCGACTCTAGGGTTGTGGTGCTCATCTCCGTTTCAAAGCCGAAGAGCCAGCGCTGTCCAAAGACTTTTCCGTGGTCATGTGGCCGGCATGACACCAAGGCGCACCAAGGCGCACGGAACGCTGTTACCTTCCCACTGATAGGGAGCTGCGGTGGCTCAAGTGGTTAAGACGCTGAACTGCAGGCTGTGGAAGGTCGGTAGTTCAGCAGTTCAAGACCTGAGTGTGCCGCATGACGGAGTGAGCTCCCGTCTCTAGTTCCAGCTCCTGCCAACCTAGCAGTTTGAAAGCAAGAAATTGCAAGTAGATAAATAGGTACCACTTCAGTGGGAAGGTAACAGCGTTCCGTGCGCCTTGGTGTTTAGTCATGCCGGCCACATGACCACAGAAACGTCTTCGGACAGTACTGGCTCTTCGGCTTTGAAACGCCTATTTTTTTCCAAATCCTGGAAACAGTTCACACGGACAATCCAGGGAAATCCCATTGAGCAGGTCAAATCCTTTAAATACTTGATCACTTTCTACTACAATGGGAGCTGGGTTACTCACCGCAAATGTGCTACTACTGTAGCAAGAAACAGTGCTGAGGCCATCGCTCGCTTTTTCTACTTGAGAGGCAATACATGTCCCAATGGCCTTAAAAGCCTTCAATGCAAAATCTAGTTCACAATTTCTATATGGCACTCCCATTTGGATAAGCGCAATTAACCAATCAGCAGAGGGTTTACAATTCTTTTTTTTTGCGGAAAATCCTTGGACTCCCTAATTGTGTCCCATACGCTGCAATCTGTCCTGAAACCGGCCAAATGCTGCTGGAAAGGGCCTGGCTTCTGACCATCAAATTCTGGCTGCGTCTTGTTTAATCCGGACTCAAATTCCTTTACCTTTTTAATGCTGACAGATCATTATGAACCTAATTGGCTGAAATTAATTAAAAAAAATTAGGTCCTTAGGAATACATCTAGACTCGCTTTACTTATCATCTGCCTCCACAATATTTTATACAATTAAATGCAGGCTTCCAGATATTCAATTTCAGCGCCTGACTGAGACAGCCAGGAAAACCTGTTTCCCAGTTCATCTGGGATTATCCCAGACACTGGGCCAGACAGCTACTTATTTTTGTTCTCTAACTGATTACCATCAAAGAAGGGCTTTTATGTTAGCCAGATTTAACATATTGCCATCGGCTATCTTTTCTGGAAGATGCCAACAAGTCTCCTATGAACTTAGGCAATGCCCCTGCAGTCAGGGTGCTATCGAATCTGTTTCCCATGTTCTTTTAAATTGTCCATTTTATACTAAGATTCGAGGAAAATTTCTGGACACCCTTCTCTTTACGTTAGGGTTGCCAGACTCCAGGTGGGGCCTGGGGATCTCCCGCTTATACAACTGATCTCCAGCTGACAGAGATCAGCTCCCCTGGAGAAAATGGCTGCTTTGGAGGGTGGACTCCATGGCATTGTACTGTGCTGAGGCCCCTCCCCTCCCCAAACCCCGCCCTCTCCTGGCTCCACCCCCAAAGTCTCCAGGTATTTTCCAAACCAGACTTGGCAACCCTACTTTACGTGGCGTGGTCTTCCTGAGAGTATTAAGGTTACTCTCTGGGCAAAACGCTTCTGTAACTTTTAATGTTGCTTGTTTGCTTTAATCTGTAATTTGAACCAGGGAAACTATTAATTAATCAGTTCTTTTTTGTTAGCTGTTCGACAGCCATACCTTTGATATATTCCTAAATTTTAATGTTATCTTATCTCTTACATGCCAATAAAGGTTGTCTGTCTGTCTGTCTATAGCCTACCTGGGGGAAGTCAGCCAGAAGCAGTGAAACAAAATGGTCCTAGTGGAGTAGAAAAACAAATAATAAAAGTTGAGAAGAAAGTACATGAAAGTTTACAAAAAGTACTAACCCCCCCAGTATAAACAGGAATGAAAGGGCAGCATAGGTAGCAGTATGGCAGGCAGCTGAAACGAACGGTAGCAGCAGTAGTAACAGGTCTACCATTTTGGTGAACACTGAAAAATAAAAATATACTACTTCTCTTTGTTGAAGAGCTCAAAGTGGTTTACAACATTGAACAACTACATCAATTAAAATAGAAACAGAAACAGAAATAGCATAGTAGATATCCAATAAAATCCTGTACAGTCATATAAAATAATACATAAAACCAATCTAATCTCAACCCTAAAACTGTAGGAACCCTACAAATTAGATCAAATATTACAATACCCACAAGCCAACCATGCCTTCCAATAGAGAGATATTATGAGACAAAAGCATGCTGGAATAATTCTGCCTTCAGAGTCTTTGAAATGTCTATGTCCTGTAGCGCACAGATGTCTTCGGACAGTGCATTCCAGAGGGAGGGTGCCGCAATCATGAAGGCCTCCTCCTGGTGGAAGAAAGTTCATTTTTGAAGGGAGATGCATTGTGAAAATGGCACTTTATTCTTGTTCAGAGTGGGTTGGATGGTAATAAAGGAGATTTTGGGGGCTATCCCAGTGCCCTGGAATCACTTATGACTGTGCCTGGTAAGGAGGACTGGTTACCAGCTTTTGCTGCACTTTTGCAGGAAGCACTAAGATCACCTTCTTGGAGGGATGGTTTTCTCCCTTCCTACAAAATCCCATTGTATGGTAGATAGAATACCCAGTTTCTCCTGGAAGTAGGATTTTGCAGAAGACACTGGCAACAACTCTCTGCTGATCCTGCCTCCCACAGAAGACCAATGGAAGGGATTAAAAACCACCCCTCCTGGAAGTGAGAATAACTACAACTCTGCTAGACCAGGCCAAAGGTGTAACATCTTGTTTCCTGCATTAATACCCCAGGAAACTGATAAGCAGTGTATGGTTTTCTTCCATTAGTGGGGCTGGAAGTCCTCTAGAGGCTCACCAGATTGGGGGGTGGTACTTGCTAGTAGCAAGCAGCCAAGTGAATATGGGACTCTGTTAGAGTTGCCAGCTCTAGCTTTGTACATTCCTGGAGGGAAAAAGCCTTGGGAATGTGAAGTTTGGGAAGGGAGCTTAGCAGGAGTATAATTCTATAAAGTCCACTCTCCCAAGATGCTGCTTACCTCACCTGGAGGTTGGCAACCCTAGATCCTATTCATGTGGTTGCTATTTCAAATAGGTGGGCATCATATCCCTATTAATTTCAGTTGGTATAAAATCCCATTTACTTGTATAATTGCTGGCTAGGGTTCCTAAAATTTCTGCAATTGTTCCCACAACTGATGGGAAAAGATGTCCATGTGGTTTGACTCCAAGCTATATTTATAAAGCCATGTACGCAATGCCCTCCCATTAGGAATCCTACAATTTATGTAGTTTGTAATCATGTTCTGAAGCTGAACGACATGAGTGGATGTCTTTCCATGCGTGTATAACAATGTCAGCAACCACAAAGGTGACACTGATCACACTGGATATGTGTATTTGTGAGGGGATCTTAAGTTCTGTAATTCTGAAAAACAGTGTTAGGGGCTATGTATGACTTAGTAGAAAAATATATACAAATGTGTATTTCTTGATGCATTTTCTGCTTCACAGAGAAATGTGTGCTTGAAATTAGCTTTAAACACCAAAAGGCTAAGGGATATGCTTGTATAGGCCCATCGATTCTGTTAAATTTAAAATTACTAAATTATTGACATATATACAAAAATATACATGTATTTATTACAAAGTAGATTAAAAACAGATATTGGTCCTCATGATAGCCTTAATTAAGAATCAAAATGTACAGTGACAACCAGAAATTACCATAATTGACCCTGACCAGACATGTTTCAGCCTGTTAGCCTTCCAGTTTGTTCTATTTTTCCTTTCTCCTCCAGAAAAACCTCATCTTGGTCAATATCTGTTTTTAATCTACTTTGTAATAAATACATGTATGTTTTCGTATATTTGCCAGTATTTTTTAATTTCAAATTTGACTAACAGAATCATTGGGCCTATACAAACATAGCCTTTTGGTGCTTAATTCAATTTATTTTCACCTCCCTCCCCTTCTTTTGTTTATTCTTGAAACTAGCTTTCAGTGTTTTTAGTGAACTGTGCTAGCTTCTAGAAACTATAGAAATGCTATTTGTGGTAACATTTTCATATTCCAGGTTATATAAAACAAGTGCACCTATTTTCAGCTGGCAGATGATGGAGGGTAGGAAATCACGAGAACTGATGTAGTGATTAGGTCACACATTTTGCTGTCTCGTCTGTTTCTTCTAATCTCCTTTTCTGCTTCATTCTATTCAGGGACAGCCTGGAACAAGAGGGTTTCCTGGGTTTCCAGTAAGTGGAACTGTTAACACATGCTATTACATATGAATGATATACCGTATTTCCAACTATAGCGTCACTGGAGTTAAACACCTCTCAGTGCAGCTGTTCTAGAAATGGTTGGCCTGCAATCACATCACAGGAAAAATGTTGCTATTTTTTTGAAAAAATTGTTACCTTATTTTTATTTTTGCAAATGTATCATTTCATAACAAATAATTCAAAAAAAATAAATACTGTAAAATATTCAGAGATGTTTGAGTTAACTTCCAGTTCTGGCAACGTAAGGAATGTAAGGTAAAAACAATGTTCATTAATTTTTCCTGTTTGAGATTCAAGGGGAAAAGTCATCATCCAAACATATTAATGTTCAGTATCAACGTGTTAGCTCATATTGTTTTTACTGATTCTCCCTGTATTTTTCTTCCGGTTAGTGGATAAGGCAGCCAGACTATTGTATAGGTTTGAACCTGTGCAATTTCCAAGAAAAACCCAAGCTGATATGCGATCCCCCATAACTCCTGTATCCCAAGTTCTTAAGATCCATTGATAAATATGTATTGTATCCTTATTAGTCTGTTACAGCACCAAAAAACAACCTTACGACGTCTTTAAGAAGACTGTCAAATTCATTATTGCATAAGATTTTGTGAATTAATGTCGACTTGAAAGTTCTAAAGTAGCCCATGAAAATTCTGCCATGATAAATATTTAAGGTACCAGAATCTTTTTTGTTTTGATAAAGACTTGACTTCCTCCTATTTCCCCACCACATTTTCTTTATGGTTCTTGGGGTGTTCCACCAGTACCCACATTCAACAAATGAAGCAGGATAAATGGTCTCTCTCTGTGTGTATCTGTCAAGTCACAGCTGACTTAGGGTGACCCTGGGAGGTATTCAAAGCAAGAGATGGTCAGAGGTGGTTTGCCATTGCCTGCCTCTGCATAGCAACCCTGGACTCCCTTGGTGGTCATCCATCCAAGTACTAAACAGGGCTGAACCAGTTTAGTTTCCAAGATTTGAGGAGATTGGGCTAGCCTGGACTATCCAAGTCAGAAATGAAATATTAAGGGTATTTAAAGGTTAAAACAGCATAATTTAAGTTAAAATAACTCATCTATTTTGTAAACTGAGAATCAAGCAAGCAAAGGGCATAATGCAGCCAAAGATTTGTACATTTAAGCCTCACTAAGATCTGTAGTTTGTGCCCAAAGAAAATAAAACCCTGAGTGCCGTTTTAAGGATTGTTTATATTTTAGTATTTCTAACTTTCACAGTCAGAAACATTATTATGGATGGACTTTGCTCTCTTTTTTTGTGAATTTAAAATAGTGTTTCTGGACAAAATCTTAAGTCTTTCATTTAAAAAACTTCACTTTCTCCTCAAGTTCCCTTTCTCCTGTCTCATTACTTTTTGATTGATAATACTCTTCAAATTTTGCAGTGATAGCATCGTAGCTGATTTTCTGCTCTGAAGATGTTCAGAGGAATTGCAAATATTTGGTAATACTGCTCAGATCCAGCATTACTTAAAAAAAAAAAAAGAACTACTGCATTTGGCCTTTAGCACCTGAAATGAGAAACAGTATAATTTCTTCTTAAACATTTCCCAGTCCTTTTTTGTGCTTTTTGAAAGAGTTGAACAATGAGGAACTTTTATTCCATAATTATGAAGTGTCCATAGGTATCTGTTCATTTTATGCCAGTCCTTAGCAGAAGTTCTTTTCCTGGTAACATATGTTGTTAATAATGCAACATTTGTATTAAGATGACAACTATAGTAACTGACAATTAAAACATAACCATTGAACCATTGTCAACTATAATACACAGCAAACTGTGACACAGCTTTCCAAGATTCTATATCTTAAGCTACAATAACTAATAAAATCACAAAAGGTTGCCCTGTTCTTTATAATCATCACTGGCACAATTGTAGTGCCAGCTTAATCCGAGTTATACCCTTCTAAGCCTATTGAGTTCAATGGACATAAAAAGATGTAATTCTGTTTAGGATTGCACTTCTAGATCTGTTAGGACTAGGGTTGTGGTTTGCACAAACACAATCTAAATAGTTTGCCTATTTTAGTTCTTTACCTCTTTTTACTCCTTTTTAATTTCAGGGCCCAATTGGTTTAGATGGCAAACCAGTAAGTGAAACATTTTAATTCTCATTCTCACCTTCTTAACCTTTTGATCTGATAGTTTCCATCCATAAGACTAAAAATGTTCACTCCCCACTTGCGGGGAGGATAAAAACTGAATTAATTAAATAGATATATAAAACTTGCAACTTGCCTTAGAAATTAAAGATGTCACAAATATTTAAAAGCTGTCAATTTATGTTGTCTTCTGAATACCTTTTTCAAAAAGTTGCATATGGCATGTTTGACAGGCAGGTATAATGCATGTTAGTGCCGAAGTATAGCAGGGTACATTTTAAACAACAGGAAAACAGCACAGCATACACCCAGGGACCTTGATTAATGGGTTGTATTTACTAAGCATTACAGTGGTGCCTATTATCTATTTGAGTTTCATTTGAATATAAGGGTTCCCTGCTTAAAAAAAAAGTGTTCCTGTATAACTCCCTAATCATCTTTGTGCTGTGGGTTTCATTTTAATATTAAAAAACAAATATTGTGCCATTCCTTTATGAAGTGTAAAAGTACAAATGTAAAGAGAATATATGTTACTCAAAATGCTGAAAGAGGAAGCACAACTCCTCTTTATGCAAAATTTGGTGTGCTATCACACCAGTGTAAAATATATGCTCTTCTTGCAGGACAAATATACATTAGAAAAGGCTTCTGTCTATTATATTATAATGCGAGCTCTCTTTCTGTGGCAGATCATCCACACAGTACATCAGTTCATAATTCCATTCAAAACAATTTCTTTTCAGCATTACTATTTTGATAGATGGTTGTGCTCAGCAGAGGGAGCTGTGAACTTTTCTGTTAAACTCCTTGATAAAACACTTGTCTTAAAAAAATCTTCTGACCTTCACAGTACACTAAGCAGTCACACGTACCTTATGTGCAGCAGAACATAAAATCTAGAGGCAGATTCTAGAATCAAGGAACATAAATGGGTATGGAGGACCATAGGCTTCAGTACCACTTAATAATAATGTGAAAAAGCAATAGAGTCTAAGATACTATGATAGTGGTATGTGGAGCTTAAAATAGCTCTTAGGTCTGGTTGTTAAAATGCTTACATCAGAATAATCTTTCCTTTCTGTTTAGGGACATCCTGGACCGAAGGGAGAAATGGTAATACAACTTTAATCTGCATGTACATGATATATACGGAGTTGGGTCTGGAAGCTCCCTAGTCCATTAAAGAACAGAGATGGGAGGGATGATTGTGGGGTCAGAAGTATGTGTGGAGTTTGACTTTCATTTCACATCTGGCCTGAACTCACCTTCAAATTATGGGGGGGGGGAACCAGCTGCACAGCATGGTGCAGCAGCATGACGGGCTTTGGTCCTCCCTCCCTTCCATCTTTTGTAGGGTTGCCAAGTCCCTACCTTTTGCTGGTTGGGGGGAGGGGAAGCTCCTCTCCCAGGATCTTCTGGCATGCGCACTACTGGAAATGATGTCATCACACTGGGCACGTTGCCAGGGGATGCTCTAGCATTCGGCTAGAAACTCTATGATACTATAGAGATTTCAGGCTGAATGCTAGAGCATCCCCCAGTGATGTGCCCGGCATGATGACGTCACCTGGAGGCCCAATCCAGGCACTTTAAAGGCACTGCCAGCCGGATCCGGGCCAGCGGATCAGGGACCCCTAAAGCTGGCCAACCCCCACCCCCCTGGGGGATTTGGCAACCCTGATCTTTTGCCGTTTTGATAGCAAAAGATGGGTGGGAGGGACTCTTTTTCATGCTTCCTTATTTTTGTTGACAAAGGCCTGATTGGCATCATTGGAAGTTTTGTTTGAAGTGATGAAATAAATGTTCTGCCTTACTCAAGTTGTTACTTGAGGTTTCAGTCCTCATGATGAGTGCACATGGTGTTTGTGTTTAGATTACTTGTGACCTATATAGTCCAACAAGAATTTCTTTCGTTTTTTAATGTTTAAAATTTATTTGCAGTTTGAATTTCAGTTATGCTGGTTATTATGAATTTGTTTAGCTGTGTGAATTATGAAGCTTCAGTTTGCAATTAATGTTTCTTGCACTTTGCTGTTTCTCATTAAGTCTGCTTTAAGCCATCTCAGAATAGAATTACACTGAACCATTAGCACCAATCTACTGCTGTTGTCTTCAGTACTATGTTATAGTAATAACATGAATGTCATGGAGATTCACCCCTAGGTAATGGATGTGAGTTGCTAGGTGAATGGCAAGTGTAGAATCTTCTGTGAACCAGTCATTTTATTTCTTTACTACCTGGGGATGCCTTCCTAAACCACCCCTTAATCCAATCCTAAAAGGCTTTGTGTCACACATGGGAAGCTACAACCTAGAAAATGATCAAATGGTGGCAAACATGTTAGATTCAGTACTCTCATCTTGTCTTGTAAACTCCATCTCACATCACCAGAGTCCTGTGAATTCACCTTAACTTCCCAGTAAATGGGTTTGGGTGCTGGACTTGTGGTTTTATGACTGGGCTTAGAGGCTAATGTTTACGGAAAAATCATTAAGTAAATTCAGCAAACTTTGGGGGAAAAAATTCCCCCTGTATAAGAAACAACAAAAATGGCTTAACATTTTATTTGCTTCTACTTTTCACAAAACTGTGAATGTGTGTTATCATCATATCTCAAGAAAAGTAGGGTTAGGGAAAACATGTAGATGTTTCATACTAATGGAGTGAAGCAACAGGAAGTTGTATTTGGATATGTGGAGCAACAGGAAGTTGTGTTTGGATATCTATTTTCATTCTCCATTATTTTTACCAGAATTATTTGTTAGGACCCCATACAGTTTAAAAAATTAACTGTCCACAAAATTGTTTAAGACCAATAAAGTTTAATTCTGGGTACCTAGAATTAAATTTTGTTGATCTTAGAGGTGTCACTCGATTCAGAGTTTATTCTGTTGCTTCAGACCAACACAGCTACCCACCTGAATCCATGTTCACAAAATTATTCAAGACAGTAACTTGGAAAGCATATGGTAATACCCAGGCCATCTACTTATCTTGCTTGTAACTGGACACATTTTCATGTACTTTATTTCTGGTCCATAAATTCTATTCACTTTGTTAATTCTGATGCCACCCTGTGTGTTTTGGTTTGTTCCAGCAAAGTATATCATTTCAGTGTGTGGTTGAATTCTTGGTACAGCTAGCTATGCCAGAATTTTACCCTCTGTCTAAAACAGTGAACCACAGGGTATAATAAATACTTCACTTCCTCTCTGACTTAATGAAATAATCATACCTTATAGTCTATCAAATACTACCGGGTTGTGTTCTGGCAAGCTTCTGCTTGCTTTGGCATAAAACCTATTGGGCTCTAATTCAATTTCACTTTTCAAATTAATTGTCATTCTGCTTCTTGTTTTGTTATTGTAATACATGTTTATTTGTTCTAGTCACAAAATGGTTTTTCTGAGGAGCCATGCTTTTAATATCTGATGAATTGACTATGAGGATATTGTTTTTGTTTTTTAAATGTAAGCATTAAGCCAGGCCTGCCTAGGGTTGCCAGCCCCCCCCCCCCAGGCCACCCGCAGGGGATACACAACTGACTTAGTCTAATTCTTCCTCCACTAAACAAAACTTAAGATCCAGTTTAGACTTACTTATTCTATGCTGCGTAAAACTTTTACTTGTCATGATGCTACACTTGAGAAGAAAAACATTTAAAAGAAACGTAACGTGGGCAATTCATAGCATTTGCAGTGATTGCTGCTGGCCAGCCCTGTGTGCCTCTGACAACAGCATAAATAGCAGGCAGTTTCTACCCATGTTGACTGGCTACACATGTAAGAAATTTTTTATCATGTCTGTCCCCACCATGAGTATTACCAAGACTATTTCCCATGGTCTGCTCATAGGCACATATAGGGTTGTCCCAAATTACAACTGATCTGCAGATTTACAGATATTAATTCCCCTGGAGGCAATGGCAGCTTTGGAAGGTGGACTCAATGGCATCACTCCGCCAGTGAAATCCCTTTCTTCTCCTAACTCCACTGTCCCCAAGCTGTGCCTCCAAACTTCAGGAATTTCCCAGGCCACAGTTGGCAGCCCTAGGTTCCCAGTGTGTATAATAGGAACAGTGATCACATGTTTCTTGAAGAAACCTAAATATTTTGCTTGAGAATAAACTGACAGGATGATACAGCGTATCTCACTTTTCTGTGGCTATGTCCAATGTTTTATTCCAGACTACATATCATGTACTGCCATATTTGTCATGTGGCTCATCTTGTTCATCACACAGTATAATGTTTGCTTGTTTTTCCCCCCTTCAAAGGGCACACCTGGTCCCAAAGGGCAGCCAGTAAGTTCTCATGCTAACACTTTCTGTTCATATTACTGTTTGGTATTTCTTACCACTGATACATACACAACCTTGATATTTATTTCTCTTCTGTTTCCCAAAGGGTCCTCCTGGGCAAAAAGGAGAAAAGGTAAGATTAGTAGAGATAACATTAGTAGAATGAATACTGGAGAAATTATTTTTAATTCACCATGGGACAAAATGTTTCTAGATTTAAGTTTGTGGCTAATGCAACCTGGAACTCTGTTTGTAAAAAGGATGACTCTAAAGCAACAGCCTCGCTTATTTTTTATTAGCAATCATGTTTGAAAACAATGTTACTTTTCTAAATGTGAGTTCATGCATACAATCATGCATGTTTGCGGGGGAAGATTTCAAATGAAATTTCTCCCAGCAAATTAGGAAAATTGTGCTTGCAGAAAACTATAATTATATGTTAAGGGTTGGATCCAGAGCAAGGATTATGCAATGGCTACAGATTTTCCCCATGTCCCCTCCCCTTCCCCAGCAGCACGTTCAACCTTGGAAAAGTTTATTCTAGCAGTCACAGAACCCACATGGAGTGGTGAGAAGAGGAAGGGGACAAAATCACCCTTCTTGCCTCTTCCATCAGTGGAGCTATGCTGACAGAAGAGACAGGAAGGGCAATTTTTTGTCATTCTCATGGCCTGCGGCAGCCTCCCAACCTGAATGACTATTGTTCCAAATGGATCCTGTAACCTCAGGAATAAACCTTCCCAGGGTCTGAAAGGACTGTTGTGGGGAGGACAAAATGCTGGATCCAGACTCAAGCACACAGATCCAAAGATGTTAGTTCAGCAACACCTGACTCCATATTTCAACACACAACTTGTCAATTAATCTTACCATTAAAAAAGAAACAAGACAATAGTAGATGCCATTGAGTCCATCTGCTCCAGGAAATCCTGGGAGATTTTGGGGTGGGTACCTGGGAATGGTGGCATGTCAGGGAGAGTGATATCACTTTCTCAGTGCCCCTCTAGGAATTTTCCCAGTTTCTATGTCTTTTACTGCAGACACTGGGGAAATTCCTGGAGCATCACTAAGAAGTGACAGTACTTCTGGACAGATGAGTCACTGGTTGTGACATCACATCAGGATGATGTTGTAGGACCTTCCCCCTATCTCTATGGTAAAGACTATAGATATTGGATGACATTCGAAGAGGTCACCATTGATTGCCACTCCCCCTTGTGTTTTCTCCTGTCACTAAAATTAGCATGGGTGGGGGAGTGAGGGTGGGTGTGGGAGGTTGCCTGCTATCACTGGACAAATAGCAGCCCTAGACAATTGTTTTGAATGAAACAAACCAAAACAATTTCAAAAGAAGTTGGACAGAGGGAACAAGAGCTAGCAAATAGCAAGCTGTTTTCCAGCATGTGTAAATCTGCTGAAACTGATGGAATCATGGCAACAGTGCATGTGCTAGGACCCTATCCCCTTAAATCTATTTTAGTTTACAGCATTCCCTATTTTAAAAAAAATTCTTTTAATCTCCTCTTTTTGCAGGGTCAGTGTGGAGATTATCCTCACAGGGTAAGCAAGCTTTTTTAAAGTGATTGTTTTCTTCCCTGTGTATTATGCCTCCTATATCTGAATGACTTATTAGGGAATTACAGAACATGTCAACTAACAATGGTCATCACTGGATCCTACAATCCTCTCCCCACCAGCACCTTCAGATTTCTTTCTGGCCTATATTACTGGCTGAGAGGGTAATGAACTTTCAGAAAGGATTTCATATCCTTATTCTTTGGCGGACTTAACTGACCCTAGAGGAGTATAAAATATATAACCCAGCAATCAGTGCCACATCTTACTCCATGCTCTCCTACTAATTATTCTGTGGTGTCCTTCCCATTTGGATTTTTTAAATTGGAAAAATTTATTAAAATAAAATACTATGTACATCCATAGTATGGAGTCTCAGTGACCCCAACACAGGGACCACTTAACAGCATGACAGTCGCTTGATGCAGCCGCTCGGCTAAGTGTTAACCATTCTGTATTTTTTTTTTCTGTTCACACCTACAAGAGATGATGAGTTGAAGGAGAAAGTAAGGTATAAATTAGATATTATTAGATCTTATCTAGGTCAATTAGATCTTATACAATAGTTTTAGCTGTCCTGTAAACAATAATCCTTAAAACAAATTCACATTTTTTTATTAATTTTTTTAAATGGTCTTTAAAAAGCAAAACAAACCAGAGCAGTGACTAACTGGGATGTATTTATTCTTGATATCTGGTTTCTAAACTGCTTTTTGAAAACCTAGCAAAGTTAACTTAGTCAGACCTCTTGATATATATCCAGAAATCCCCACTCTGTGCACAATGTCCACATCTTATTGTCCCACCTGCTATGTTATCAGAAGGAGTTCACTTTCATAACAACACCACAGATATGTGTAAATCACGTGGCAAGATTTCATGTAGGGTATGATGTATTGCCATTTGCCACTTTTCTTGACCTTTATACTTCCATGAGGGAACACTGCAGAGGGTGAGATTGAAGGGATGCTCACAGCCTGTCTGGGGGGTGGTCATGGTTGCTGGTGCCCCATGGCTTCCTCCTGGTGTGGTGTACAGGTTACAGTGCTAGACTGTGTTCTGGGAGACTCAAGTTTGAATCCCCACTCTGCTGTGGAAGCTTGCTGTGTGACATTGGTCCAGTAACAGATTCTCAGTCTCACATACCTCACAGAGTTGTTGTGAGGATAAGGTGGGGGAGGGGAGAACAATGTTGCAAGCTCCTTTGGGTCTCCATTGGGGAGGAAACAGGATATAAATAAATAACTGCTAGAGCAAGGTTTGAACTTGGGAGATTGCATGGAAAGAGCGAACAACATGTTTCTTTCTACTTGGATCTTCCAAATTGAAGTGTTACTGAAGCAGTGTGGGATGGAACTATGAGAGAATTACCACAGTACTGCCTTGTAACGTAAGAAGTGGTCCTAATGTTGCTGCAAATCTACTGGGTTGTCCTCTCTAGATATGGCTTACAGCAGCTGATTATGATTGCCAGATATGTTCCTAATTTAGGTTTCTGCTTCTTTAAAGATGCACCTGTAGAGCCTCTACCTGCTTCAGGACTGAATCTTGTAAGCCAGGCAACAGCATGGCAGTGAGGGACACAAAAGTTGTTGGCACAAACAGAAAACCCAAAAAAACATAAATGTATTTATTTTTAGAAGATTTCCATAACATTTCTTAGAGAACAAAGACCATTGTTCATTAGGCAAATGTTAGGCACTACTTAAAAGACCATTGAAATGCAAAATTACATTGTTTCATGGATTCCAGTCAATTGTTTGCACTCCCTAGCTGTAGGCGTTATGGGCAGAGAACATGGGATGTCTGTACGACATTTATTTTGCAAATAATTTCACTAAACCCCGGAAGTGCCTCATTTACTTTTGTACCCTGCTATATTTAGGATGCATCTAGTGGCAAAAGAACATCAGAAGGTCTGGAGGATTAAAGGAACAGAATTTAACCAGACACATTATACAGTGGGTTGAAAAAATAACAGATTCTGTAGTGTAAGTCTTTTCTAGTTAGCATTTGAAAAGTGTCTTGATAAATGGACACCAGCTCTGGCTCTTATCCCAGAAAAGTATGGAGCTACAATTGGTTCAGGACTCTGGTATGAAGGCAGCATGTAGATAGCAAACCCTTTAGATGTATCTGGGTGGAGTAAAGACTGATGGGTTGTCTGTCTGTTCTGGCTCATTAATAAAAGGTCAGCTGTGTTTATTTAGAAAGGCATTGTCACTAAATTGTTATGGAGCTTTTAAAAGCTAAAAGCATGGTTTGCTTAAGCAGTGTTCTGTGTTCAGTTACAGTCATTGACTTCAAGCCGTCCACAGTGATCATGGTGAAAAGCCAGAGACAGGGGCCCTCAGAATATTAGCACATGACAAAATTAATCACAAGTGACTAGGAATATGAAGGGCTTCAACATGCAGACCACTATAAAGAGAAAAGAATTTTACAACTTTGGTTTATGGCTGCTGTTGGATATTGGAATTCTTGATTAAGAAATTTTATCATTCTAACACACAGGGTACTCTTAGGTTTAGGGGATCCATGCAGTAAGCAGAATGTAGATAAACAGTGCCATCCTAAGCAGGCCTGCTCAGTGGGACTTACTCCTGAGAAAGTATTGTTAGGATTGTACTGAAAACGCTATAGATAAAGGTGATGAAGCTCTGACATGGCTTTGCAAGTTCGGTATGCCTTGAAACTTCTGTGTTGTGCTCAGCACTAATATGCAACTTGCTCTTTGTTTCTAGGCTCTCAAGTGTATATATTGCTGGCAACAGGATTAGTTCTCTTATCAAAAATATGGAAATCTGAATTCTTTCTTTCTCTTTTTAAATGTAAGTTAGTGGCCCTCAGGATGGTAGTGAAAATGATCCTGAACACTTCAGTGCCAAAAGACATTAAAAGTTGTAAAATATTATGAATGATCTTTAAAATGAATATCAGGCAGAGGAGTTGTGTTTGAACTTTGAGAGGTGCAAGAACAAAGAATTCTGCTTTCTCATGCTAGCTAGAAGTCTTGGATAGTCTAAGTCACAATTTCCAACCTCGTAGTTGCCCTTAAAGTTAATCAAGTCATGTAGATTACCTTGTGTCTTCATTATAAGTTTTCTTTGGGGGGGCTGGGGTTTTTTAAAGGTGAACACGTTTCCATTTCTAGGAGGATGGAAATCACATTTTAACTTGCCAAGTTAGAATTTCTGACATGGTCTTCTTCTGACTGCTGTGTTGGTGACAAGGGTGTATGGCCTGGATTGCCCTTCTCCACTGCCAGCAAAGCAGGAACTGAAAATCCAACCCCACTGTTACGTAGTACTAATATTCCCTCTGAAGGGCAACAAATAATAAAAGCTAATACTCAGTAGAGGAAGTGACCATATCAACAGATTATTCAAGTTAAACAGTCTAAGCCTTGCAGACGGATGAGGTAACCAGAGCAGGTAAATAAAGGATAGTTGCAAGTGTAGGTCTGGACTGATGCAGCTGCATGTTGAGTTCAGAGTTGTTTTGTTATTGAAGGCGTGGTGGATGTAATTGACCCAGCTCTGTGTCTTCACTGCCCCCTTAGGAGCACCTCAGTACCACACTTGCAGCTCTGCGTTCTAATCAGATCCTTACATTGAAGGTTTGTGGGTAAATGGTTTAACTGCAGCCGGTCCTGTTGCAAAAGAACAAAGAGATGGATCCAATATTGCACATTCTTAGTAACAAAAATCTGTTAACACATTTGTGGGAACATTGGGGAGGCAGTTTTTGGGAGAAGGAGAAATAGATTTCAAATTCATTTCTTTAATGCCTCATGTGCTACTAATTACTAGGAGGAAAGACCATACCAATTCAAATATCTATAGCTCAGTTTTGAATGCAGGGATCTCAAGATAATTCCTCTGGAGCTTAGACATTTTGTACAAAATACAGGGTGACAGAAATGCATCCCTTTAAAATATTTGGAACAGCTTTTTGGTAAGGACTTTAGGAGCCTATTGTCTTCATATTTGTTGAGAGATCTTTGTTTATTATGCTCAGGAAGCTCTATTTACTAGCAAGTACAAACCGAGTATTGATCTTAAGGTCATACTTCTCCAACTGAAAAATACAGCACATTACTTTTTCGGACACCCAAATGCAAATAGACTCAGAACAAGAGGCGGGACCCGCGATACTTGTGGGGGGGGGAAGTATTCCCCACAGCTTCCGGCCAGCAGAAGTGGCAGCAGGTGAGCCCATCCTTCTCCCTCCCCCCTCCCCCCTCCACCCCCAGTGGCGGCGGTGAGGCCAGCCCACCAAGCTTTCTCCTTCTCCCCTCCCTCCCCTTGTCAAGAAGGAGGAAGCCATCGCAAGTAAGCCTTCTTCCCCGCCCCTGCCTGGCCCCGACAGTGAGGCCCCTGCAGTCCTGTGAGAAATAGTTTTCTTTATTCTTCTGATGCTATATTTTGACATATTCAGTGAAATGTATCATATTCATGGAGATGGACATCCTTAACCCTGAGAATAGAGGAAAGTCAAGTAAAGCAAGCACTACAGTCACATCCTAATATACATCTTTCAACTTTTCAGATAAGGGCTGGAGAGAGAAAAATACACTAATTTATATTATGTGTTTCATTATTTGTCTAGGAGTTTTGCTTAAAGAAATAAGTAAAAAAAGCCAGCTGTCTACCACCTAGCCTTTGCATTTCACAAATCTTGCTACAGAAGGAATTGCTTCTGATTCTGACTGTATGACATGTATAAAGAACGTTCGTAACTAGATTATTTGAGTTTGAAGGGGGGAAGCTGGATGTAATAATGGTTGAAACCCCTTATACATTCTGACTTTATGAATGGCATCTCATCATTGCCACGTGTGCTTGGATTTAGTGCCATAACAAAAATACTCAGAACATCTGTCTCACTTTGTTACTTCATGCAAGGATCATAGTGATTCCCCCCCCCCATGTGGTTTGCTCTGCCCCTCTGTGGTCTTTGAATATACTGTTAATTGTAGCCCTCCTAATCCAAGGCTAGTCTTTCAAATTTTCCGTCATATTACCATATCATCTGTTTAAACCCAGCCCAGAATGGCTGAGTTGCAGTGCTGCAATATTGTGATGATATTTCAGTTGCAACAAGACCGGAACTTGGCTTGCACTAAATAGCAAATAGCCATATTTAAGGGGAGGAAAGTGAACTCTGGAGTGTACAAACTCACTGTCATGGGTAACTTGCAGGCACACCTCTATGCTTCAAAAGAAACTCTTCATGCAACTGAATTTCGTAGCTTTAGCAATACCTGTCTGTCCCAGTATTCATGTTGACAAAAACTGGGTGAATGACTCTAGTTGTAGATAATCATGTGCAGTGGTTGGAACAGAACAGTACATGTTCGGCAGGCAACAGGCCCAGCTGCTTTTGTTTTCTAAGAACCATTTTGGCGAGGTAGAATTAATTCCTCTAGCATGGAACACATGACTTCTGTTTAAAAATTGGCAAGCATGGAGTTGTTTACTACCATGCTAGATAGAATGTCTTGAACTTAACTTTGAATTAGTGTTACAAAATATGTGGCAGCATTAAGGGCTTTCATGAGACCAGGTCAGGTAAGAACTGCAGAAGAATCCTCAACTAGTGACTGAGCACCATTGCTTTAAGTGTTGGATGTTTTTATTATGTTTTATATGTTTTTAATTATGGCACGGCTAATTACCCTGCCCTTGTTAGCCGCCCTGAGCCCACTGGGGAGGGCGGGATATAAATGTGATAAATAAATATATAAATGTGAAAAATGAATAAATAAATAAATAAAAGGGTCCCAGCCACAGCTATTGTATTCTACTTAAAAAGGAGGAGGTCTGAGAAATGTTGCCTGAAGTAGGCCTAGGCAAAGAATGACGCGCTAGTTGAGCATTGTCCCTTGCTGAAAGAGTTCTTCATGTCATTCTGCATTCACCTCATTAGCCATTAAAATGCTGTAGTCCTCTTAGTAATTGTAACTGATATGAAAGCACATGTACAGTTTTAATGATGTTCAAATGGCTTGTTCCTACTAGGAAGTAAAATACAATCAATTATAAAAAGTATTTAGGGATGAAAAATTATCTTTTTGAGTCACTGTTGTAAACAGGACTGTGTAAATCATCTGTGTGTGCAACAAGTAACAGGAAGTGGTCTGGAAGGATAAAGTATCTGTGGCAATAAGGAAAGCACTAAGAAACTATAAGGCCCTTTTAGGTGATATAAAGAGGAAAAGATAACAAAAACAAAACAAAAATATTAAGAAGGAGATTAAGAGCAAAAGTGCTTTAGCTAGGGACTTCAGATGAGAAGGTATTTTTTGCTTAGGTGCAATGAGGCTTAGCAGAAATGGACAGCGAAATTATCTGGAAAGTTTTACTTTAAATAATCCAGATTAGATAACTAGAATACACTAACACTTAAAGGGTGAAATGAAAACTACGATCAATACTGTAACCAAAACCAACCATAGGTGTTCCCAGCAACCCATATTAATATGCTGTATGTGGACAATAGAAGAGCTCAGAGGTTTGCCAAGAGGTACCCAATGACAAATACCTTTTCTATTGTCTTTCATTCTTGCCTCTCAACTGTGACTTACTTTCGTTACATCCTTTCATTGTTTTCCTTTTTTTCCATTATCTTCATTGGCTGCTCTGTATGACTTTTGATGCCATACTGATTTCCTTTGCCTTGTGACCTTTGGCCTTTGCCCTGTGACCTTCTGGTTCGGTCTTCTTCAGCTGTTGCCACTTCTCAATTCAGTGCGGCTGGCTCCACCCCCAGTCATAAAGAAACGCACCTTCCAGGTATTCTTCACCTTTACCTCCTTTTCCTGTGTTGAGCTTTTATTTCATTTCAGAAACTGCTGATTAATCACCTTGTTTTTTTCCTCACAGAGGGGTTTCAGTAAAAGTAGGAAAGTAGTCTCTCTGACGATTCAGTCACACCCATTCAGCTTGTTTGTACATAACAAACACCACCGCAAACTAGTTTTAATTCATCCTCCATTTAGCATCTAAGCATGAATACAATGCTAAATGGCATCGATGGCAGCTTGAAGCTCTTTTTTCAAGAAATAAGAAAGAAATGGAGAACAAGGTTTTCAGAGCCCCATTAGCATACATTGGACATTCTAATTATATTTTCTTCAGTTACAGAGAGAGCAAATTGCTTGTCCACAGATTAAGAAACAAACTAAGAGCTAATTCTCACTTTATATTGTAATTGTGTTTGTTATGGATATGCTGGCATTACACAGATACTTCCTAGAGCAAACGTATAAACCAGGCCTGCACAATTTGTGACCCTTCAGGCAAAATGCAGTCTATCAGCTCCACTAGGCTCATTAAAGCTTCAAAAATAAGAGGATTAAACATTTAGCAATCTGCAATAAATGGATTGAGGTTGTGTTCAGCTCAATCGGTCACAGGTTTGACAAAAGTGTCAAGAGCAATTGCCCATCCCTAAACCTGCTAGGATTCATGCCTCATCTTGCTAGGGAATCCCCATCATGAGCATATGACATTTTTAGGGATGTGTGTTTGCCCTTAAATCTTCATTTGTTTATTATAGGAAACATGGGTTCTCTTATTGACATAGCCATGACAAATACAATTACCACATAAAATAAGAAGTGCCTCTATGTTTGATGCCCTAATCTTGATCCCATCCTCTCAAATATCCTCTGACTTTTCAGGAAGTTCAGTTATACTAATAACAGTAATGGGACTTCTGTTGACAACCTCTAGCCTTACCTTGAGACTGCTAGGGTATTTTATATTAAGGCACTTGAATAAATTAACTTGTATATCTGTAGAGTTATCTAGGTGTACATTTTGCAAATACTAAATCAGCTGCTTGTGGCATTCTTCAGAGGATATAGCACATAACATTCTGTTCCGTGCATTTGGCTATATTTCGGGACAGTATTATGTGTGTGCAGATGAGTGCAGTTAGTTTGTCTCACTGAGGATCCAATAGAGATGCCAGTCTACACAAGGCCTTTTTGTCACAGTAGCATAATGATATTGTTATGAATACTTTTATCATGAAATGGACCACTACGATTCATCTGGAATGTGACTGGAGAAAGGGAGTAAGTTAGAGATCAAACACTATACTTATCAGACATCCCATACTATTTTTAAGCAGTAATTGGAGATATACGTTTGTTAACCACCAAGTGGCTTCACTGATATTCTTTGTATATTTAATGTTCTGCCAGGGTTCACAAAAGGTTATCTTATCTAACCACTTTGACATGGTATTAAAATCCGTGTGGAAATCAATACAGTTGAAAAGGACATTAACAGCAGGTGAGGGAGGCAGAAAAAAAGGGAGTTTTAACAGTACCACCCTAAGCAGGTCTGTTCGGAATCCTGCTCACGTCCATTTAGTAAATTGGGCTTAAACCCAGGAGAGTGTTCCCAGGATGGCACTGCTAGCTTTATAGAGTTTATTCTGAGATTTGCTAGTAAGACATAATATTCTTATTAACACATACCAGTGGACCACTTTTGGGGGAAAACAAACTCTGATCTGGAATATTCTTATTAACACATACCAGTGGACACTTTGGGGGGAAAACAAACAAACTCTGATCTAGAGAAAGCTGTACTTGACAAGGGACAATTTACTGCTGATTAACTTAAATCATATTAATTTCAGTGGGTGTTTAAGTGCAACTAACAGGACCATCCCAGCAGAGTTACTTCTAAGCTTAAGATTTCAATGGACATAGATGAGTATAAGTCTGCTTAGGATGGCTCTGTACACTGGGGCCAATGGGCCCTGTGAAAATGCTTAGTTTAAAAGACATTAGTCACACATGATATGGATTTTGATGGATTTAAAAGCCCATTAACTAAAGCAAAGTTCAGTAGTGAAAGAAAAGCAGAATGGGAAAGCCTGAGAAAAAAGATGTCTTCAGAAACTTTTCAGTCTAGGAAAGAGCAGAACAAATATCCATAGGAAGAGAATTCCAAGGATGAGGAAGGAGCAAGACTAGGGAAAAACAAGGACAAGTTGGAGCAGAAGTGAAGTGTAGCACTTTCAAGTGAATGAATGTCTCATGTCATTCATTAGAGGCATCTCCTGACAGCTTCACAGTTGAAGTAACTAGGATGAAATTATACATTGGACACAAATGGTAGCCTAATAGCCCTTTTAGGTTAGATAAAACTACTTTCAATTGGGGTGATCAGGTATGAAGAAATGGTGTCTCAGGAGAGGGTGCTTAATCATTTCACTCCTTGCTATTTTCCTTCTCAAAATGGCTCTCTCAAGCAGCTTTTCACCTCACTGGTTTTAAATGTGTGGTATCAAAAGGGAAATGCTTTAATACACTTCCCTTTTCTTCTTGCTGTTTCTCAGCTCTTAGTCATCCTCTGGAAGCAGTTTTCCACTTCAAAAAGGGCCACTGGGCTTCAGTCACTTGTGTTTCTATGTAATGTACAGTTTGGCCCTAAGAAAGATTGGAATGGTCCATCGGAGGGTAGTTTAATATTGGCATCTGCTTTCCCTTCCCAAGATCTGATTATAATTTTCATTATCTCAGCTGGGGCTTTAACAATAAGTCATTCAGAAATCCACTCAGAACATTCCTCTGTAGGTGAACTAGTTCAGTTTTGGAAACCCTCTTGAGATACTTATCTACCATAACTGGCTTGGCTTGGCTTGGCTTTCTCCCTTTCCTCAGGCTGTGCTTGCTGTCTATCACACTTACAGCATCATTTTGCTAGATTTTAAACATTATTTGATGGTAATATTGTTTTTTAATAAACCGCAGGGAGAACAAGGACAGGCAGGGATCCAAGGGCCCCCGGGGCCACCTGGGCCTCCAGGCCTTCCAGGAACTCCAGGACAACCTGGCCCAACTGGACCACCTGTAAGTCTCTTTTCAATTATTATGTCTATCCCATTTTCCCTTTTCTCCATGCATAAATACAATCTTCCTGTGAGTTCGTGATTATTCTCTAATCTTCCATCTCCCCTCCTTTCCAACACTAGCACTGACTCCTGCTAGGATCCTAAAATGGGTGAGGATTGAGTGAAAAAGGTAGTTCCCATTTCAAGAGAATGATGTTGCATCAAAGCCCTTATTATCTCATCCCATGTATGTGTGAGAGACTAGACAAGAATGTAATTTCCTTCATCCCAGCATGTGTAAAGAACCAGCTGAGGAAGTCACACTCTGGCTGCAGTTATTTCACCCTCAATTCAAACTCAAGTCTTAAACACTCCTGAAATCTCTTTGATGTCCTATTAGAGTACCATTCTCAGAGTGATACTAAGCAGTTTTGGAAGGTGGATATCACTCCAAATGGTTATCTTCAAAAGATTAATTTCTTTGTGACCTTAGGGGAAAGTCGGAGAACCAGGGAAGCCAGGCAAGGATGGAAAGGTATGTATTAAAGCATTTTTCAGTTCCCCAGAATATAATGCATGTTTTTTGCATTAAGGAATGATGAAGGGAGGAGTAAAATGCAGAGAGTACTGGTCATTTTATGTCTACTTCATTTAGCTATGGCCAACTAAGGGCCTGACAGTTGACTCAGTAAAGTATTCTAGGCACTGATGGCTCAAAAAGCAGTGCCATCTGAGGCCACAATCTCTGGCAGTTTTCCCATGCTACCTCTCACTGATCACTGCCACCTCTGCCTCTCAGCATGTCAAGAGGCATATATCTCCCAGTCCCATTTTCTCACCAAAGCTTTCAAACACAACATGGGGTGGGTGGGAGGGAGGCAAATAAACTCTCTCCACCCTGTATCTCAGACAGCGCTTTAGGGTCACTAGAAAACTACTCATCTGACCCCAAAGATAGCAGTTTTATGCAACTACAGTGTGATGGAGTGGTTTTCCAATTCCTCATGATTCTCCTACTTACTACTTAGAATAGTTTCTGCATTCATGAAATAGAAGCAAACTGTATGTTGTTTAAGCAGAAATAAATGGTAGAAACCCTATTATACATACTGTAGAGCTTCTCAGTTTTTTACTTGCTCATTATGTGATACGCTTTTATCTTCAGGGCTTGCCAGGACTTCCTGGACCAAAGGAGAGTAAAGAAACACAGAATAAATTCCAAATAATATGGATGCCTTTTAAAATTACAAATGTTTTCTGTGGGAAAACATCTGAAATACAGCAAAATCCCCAGTGTGATTATTTACCCAACTCTCATGATGGTGATAAGCATCCCAGTTGTAAAGGAATTAGCTACTGATGCTTTGAAAACTAGCAGACCAGATATGGCTGCCTGGAAAAAAAATGTCCTGTCCATTTAATAGAGACTTAATGGGGTATTATTTATCTGGTGATATTACTTACCTCCATGCTGTGTAAATCTTCAGCTGCCCAGTTCTACACGTTAAGCCTCTATTAAAGGGACATGGCATTTTTCTCCAGGCCTATTGGCAACTGAAAAACCAGAACTCTGCAATTAAATAGTAAGAATTAATTAACTTTTTAAAATCCTGAATTCTCTTGTTGGGACTCAACTTGATGAGATGCACAAAAGACCCATGACTGGATCTCATAAAATCTTTAATTGCATTTAAAAGCAACTCTATGCTGTGGTATAGGGGGTTACTCCCCTCATGCTGTTTCCCAGATAAAAATTGGCTCCCTAAAGCAGTTATTTGCCTCAGGAAGAAGAAAAGCCTGCATCTATCTTTGAAACAGTACAGAAGGAAAGGGTTAACTCCCCCCCCCAGCTGTGCCATTTTCTTGATTAACTTCCCCCTGCAACTGCTCTTTGCCCTGATGTTCCCAATCCAGTTGCTTCTCCCCCACATCTGTTTTGCACTAAAAGTTTGAATTCCATTATTAGGAATTCAACTGACACAATCTAATTGTCTCTTACTTGAGGATTCTAAAGGGGGGGGGGGTTATAGCTTTTATTTGAATTCTCTGGGTACCGAGGTATCTTCCTTAGATGTTTAGTTTATATTCCTGTTCCTGCAGGAGAAGGCTGAAAGTTTTTAGTCTGTCCACTTCAGCTCTGTCTGTCCACTTCAGCTCTATCATTTCTCTCATTTTTCATTTTCAGGGAGAACCCGGAGTTCCAGGATACCATGGAAGAAAGGTACGAACAAAACGTTTGAGAAGCCCAAAACCAAAGAACAAAAAAGTACCACAGTGTTTTAGATGCATAAAAGTGGACCTGAGCCATCTGGGAAAGTGTTGGAAAAATACACCATCCTCTCCTTCTGCATATGCATGTATACCAGCACACCCTAGCTATAGCACTTCTGTCATTTCCTACCTTGACTGGGAGTGACTGGGACTGAAGTAAGTGTGACTTCCCCTTGAACCATCTCAAACTCTGTCCATTCCCCATGGGCAGCATCTGTTATAAGAGGGTGGGATTGGGGATGATTCCAGGTTTTCAAGTGCTACTAAGCTTCTTAGTGGCTTAGGACAGTTCCTGCCAGGAGAGTCTGGGGATGGAAAAAACTGTAAACTCCTAAAGATTTTATACTCTCCTGGTGAAAATTTCTTTTGCATTTGCACTCATGCAAAATGTTATAAGCAGTAGCATTTAGGCCCCAGTAATCTGTGCAGAGTCTTAGCCCCCCATCCTTTTTTTTCCGGAACAGGACCGGGGCAGCAAATGGGGACGAGGCTGGTCTGATGAAACCACGGGCCAGGTTTTTGTCTATGAACTTGCGCAGTTCATCTTTCTCCGCCGGGCCCATGGCATAAATGCATCCCTTAGGTAGTTTTTGGCCAGGCAATATTTCAATGCTACAGACTGAGTGTCTATGAGGGGGGAGCTCATCGGCCTCTTCCTCCTCAAACACCCTGGCCAAATCCCAGTACTCGGGGGGAATGGATAACAATTCCTCCTGAGCCAGGCACACTCTGGGAGATTCTGCAGTAGGCTGCTGGCCCCACTTTGGGTCCCACCTGTGCTCTTGACACCTGGGGGAGATGAATTGTACCTTCCCTTCGTCCCACAGTATATAGGGATCGTGTCCATGCAGCCATGGGCCTCCTAGGACCAGCGGGAATCTAGCGGCTGGGGTGATCACGAACAACCGTTCTTCCCAATGCTCCCCCGCCCCCAACCTTAACGGCACAGTCTCGTACTCGCAGGGTTCTTTCATAGTAGACCCATCGATTTGGGTAAAAATCAAAGGGTCTTCCAGCTTTACTACCCCCGCCTCCAACCCTGTAACAAGGGAGGGGTTGATAAGATCCCTCCCACACCCTGAGTCAGTGAGGGCTCTCACATGGATGTGTGTTCCGAGGTCGTGTTTAATTAATCACTGTCACAAAAAACAAGGGGGGAAAACGGCTCACCACTTTTGGCGCCTCCGGGATCGGGTCCTGCTGATCCATGCCTCTTACAGCAGGACCTGGCCTTTTCCCGCTGGCTCGGGGTCGTCTTCGCTGGAGTCTTGTTCCAAGTCCTCTGGGGTGGCTTGCAGGGCTTTGGCATATTTCAGCTTCCCCATCGGCTTTTTGTCAGGGGTGTCTGGGCGTCCTTTCGCTTGGTCGCTTGGGCCCGGTTTCCCCTGGCCGGTTCCGCCGCATTCGGCCGTGAAATGGCCCTTTTCCCCACACTTCAGACAAAGACCTTGCCGCATACGTTGCTCCTGCGTAGCCTCTGACTGTTGCGCCGGCTTGCCTTTTGGAGCCGAAGATGCAGGCCTGCCTCCCGCGGTGGCGATGTCCAAGCGTAAGGTGTTTAGGCACATTTCAGCGCTCTCTGCTTCATGCATCCATGCTGATAGGGAGACTGGATCTACCGCTCGCAGGACTGTCTCCTGGATTTCTGAATTCAGCCCCACGCGGTACAACTCGGCTAGTACCGGATCAGGCCAAGTCTGGACTTTGGCTGCGTGTAGCATGAATTCCGAGAAGTACTCCCTCACGGTTCACTTCCCTTGCTTCAGGGTGCATAGGAAGGCCCTTGCTTTTGGCCCAGCATTCCGATCCTCGAATTGGGCTCGCAGGGCCCACATGAAAACGTCCAGATCGACTAGCTCAGGGCCCCGTGCATTGTGCAGCCCCACATACCAGGCCGCCGTGTGGCTCCTCAGACGGGCCGCTACCACATCTACTCGACTGCTGTCATCTGGGAACAGGTGGCCCAATCTCTCCACGAATTTCATTACTCGAACCACAAAGTAGGCAAGTTCGTCAGGGTTCCCATCAAACGTGGCTTCGATGAGGTCTTTCGGCCGATGGATCGCGGGACCCCTTGGGCTTGCTGGTCGCGGTGCTGGAACTGGGACTTCCCCCGGAGTTGGTCTGGGCACTTCCCCGGCTGAGGTTGGGGGGAGGTGGTTGGGGAGGTGGTTGCGGGGGTGCCACTGGTTGAGCATGTCTTTCCTCTCTGTTGGCTTGAATCATCAACTGTGGGATCGCCTGGAACAGATTTGCCATGTCTCTCTGCAGTTGCCACCGCTCTTGGTCAGCCACCTCCATCCTATGGGCCCACTCCAGTCCCCTGTCTGGGGACACGCGCCCACTCTGCGCCTTCGACTGCTCCGTCACCCACGCTGCAGGCTGCAGTTCAAAGGAGGCCCCATATGGGGGTAAATCTCCTGCTGGGAACCCCAGGTCAAACCTGCTATCCCTTCGGGGTCCTTGTGTCAGCATATAAATCTCTGCTGTAGAATCCGGGTTAAAGTGGCCCCAGCTGGAGCTCGGTCGATACCCCAGCCGGGGTGG